AGGGAGGAGAGGAGCAGAAGACTGACCTCTGATACGAATTCTCGTCTTCCTTCCACCTCCACATGTAGAGTTCCCACCATAGGGCGGTGGAATGCGTTCTTAGAACCATTGAGGTAGCATGCAAACGTATCGTTCCAAACCTGCGAGCCTTGAGATGGGGAGAGGACAGCGAGCTGACTACCTTGCTGGTCCGTCCCACCTTCCTCGTCTGGACCTCAAGGGTGGAGATCGGAGCCTCTCGCATCCCGTGCCCTCCCGTCAGTTTCAAGTGCCTAAATCGAGAGGAGTGATAGACTTTCGTCCACCTCACACCCAGCTCTCCATCCCAGCTCTTCTCGAAGTTGTCCACCTCCTGCACCCCCTCCTCCTCCTCCTCGCTGTCAGCTGCGGTGGCGTGTCGCTCTGACTCCAAGGTGACGTAGACATGCGTCTGCTTCGGCTTGCTCGGAACCTTGCCTTGCCCTGCCGCACACTTAGGCAGGTTACGAGGTCGGACCAGCGTGATCCGGAGCCTCCCGGTCCCAAGGTGAGCAGGGTAAGAGATGTTGAGGTGCTCGAGCCCCGCACCCAACTCGCCAGCCATCTCTTGCATGTTGAGGAAGCGAGAGAACTGCAGCTGCGCGTCCCGCAGGGACTTCTCTGCTCCTTCGACGTCGTTGCTGAATGCGAATCTCAGCCACTTGAGGCCCTCGCGGACTTCGTCCACGAAGGCCCTTTCTCGTCCATGAGACTGAATGTCCCTGTACTTGTTTTCGAGGAGCAATGTGGCAAATTCCATGGCAATTTCAGGATCCTGCCAAGGGTATGAGGGCACAAGTAGAGCTTAGCTCAAACAACCTCGCGCTTCTCTAGCAGCGACCTGTAGAGGTGAATGGCTTCGGTGCGATTGGACTTTATCATCCAGTTTCCAGCTCGAAACAATCTGCACAACTGCGACAAGAGTGAGAGTCTGGGTCAGCTTGCTTTGTGGCTACACCTCATACATGGCGTCGAGATAACCATGTTGCACACAATCCCTCAAGAGATCGACAGCTTTCTTGGATGGGTTGGCTATGTCCTCATACAAGGAATTTCGTTCTCCGACGTTGGCAAGGAGGTGCTTTGCAAGCTCGTATCTTGCTCGCATGTTGCCTGCAGCAGCAGCTAATGACAACCATTCCCTTGCTGAGGACTCGTCTTGCTTCACGCCATCGCCACGAACGAGAGCAAGAGCGTACTCCACCTGTGCTTCTAATTCACCAGCCTCTGCAGCTCTGTTCACACGGGCGTCAACATTGAATACACAACATCGCTGCAGCTCACCGCTTCAACCACTCTGTTGCTATGCTTCTATTCGTGCTCTCGGCGAAGCCAAACCTTCCATCTCGCATGCTCTGGCCCAAGAGGAGCTAGGCGCTCGTGAGCAAGCACCGCCTCCTTGAGATGCTTACAAACCTGCGCCTTGGCATGGCCACCATGTGCTGCTTCCTACACTTGCGTGTTACAAGAGATATCGAACATCTCCAGCAAACCTCCAGCCATTGACCAGCTTCTGCAACAATTTTGCGAGAAACCTTAACCCTGAGAGTTCTTGCCAGGCTCATTAGCTGATGGGCCATTTGCCATGCTGCCTCCATGTGCCCAGCCTGCGCTGCTTTCTTGAGCAAATCCAAAGCTTCCTGCTCCCCTCACTCTCAGACATCGTCACAACAATCCCATCTGCTTCTACCGCCTTCTCAGTCCTCTGAAAGTCACTGTCTCGAAACTTCTGCAGCTGCCTCATCGCAACTTTGTATTGAGCTTCAGCCGATCCTTGGTGTCAAGTGTCAAATAGTATTGATTCAAAGGAACAAGTCAAGACCACTCTCTGCAGCTTTCTTGAACCATTCGAAGGCTACTATTGGATCCCTTTCTTCAACAAGCTTTCCAACAGGGCTCTGTGATGAAGTGATTAGGTCACTAGCACATACTTGCCTCCTTCGTACAGAATCATGTTGCTTCGATCCAGTCGACGTCGACTCTTCCACTTCTCTTCGAAAACCATCCATGAACAGACATCCATAAAGATACTGCGAGTCCGCGTCACCGCCAAGTGCAGCCTTCTCTATATATTTCGCAGCTTTGATCTGCCAGGAAAGGTTGAGAGTGCAGCCATGAGACGGCCCTTGATAACTTTTACCTCGTCACTTTTGATGCTCGGATCACCTTTCAGTAGAATTCTACCCATGACCGCTGAGCTAAGTACATGCCCGACCTGAAGCAGAGTGAACACCAATGTTCCACTGAGTCACAAACTGTTACATCAGCCGCGGCTTGGATCAACGCGAGCGCCTCCTTTCGTTCAGAGGACCCCTTTGATACGGCTAGAAGGTATGCTCCAAGGACATACTTTGCGTCTGGAAGGCCTTGGGAGCTCGCCGTGTTTAGCAACGCAACGGCTTCCTTGACCATCGCAGCTCCTTGAGGATCAGTTGTCCTCTGCCCCCGATCCAGCAGGTACACCCCGAGCCTCATCTGCGACTTTTCATGGCCAAGTCTCGATGCCTTGCGCCTGATGAACACGACAAAACAGTATGAGAATGAACAAGCAGTCTAGAGTTCGTCAGTGTACATACCACCATCCGATCGCCATGGTCTCATTTCGAGCGACTCCCTTTCCCGAGAGGCACCGGATCCCTATATGGTACATCGCAGGTGGATAACCATGCAAGGCCGAATTCTGCAAGAGCTCCAAGCTCTTTGAAGCGTCGGCTGTCATGCCATAATTGCCCCTCTCGTAAATTTGCGCTAAATTAAAGGCTGCGCGACCATTCCCTTGCTCACTCAAGGCTTGCAGCTGTGCGATCCCCTCTCGACTTGTCATGTCAGACCTCGAGCTGTCACACGTCTCCAACATCTTGAGCGCTGCTTCCACCTGCGCTGCAGCTCCGCCTTCCTCTCCCGGGCTTGTTGCCCCGAGGGGGGACCCCATGTTGTGGACGAACGTTCTCTCATTCTTCCTGACCGAACTCTTCGATTCGGGCTTACCTCCACGCAGCCGATGGTTAAGCCATTCCTCGGAGGAGCTTGAGCGAACTGTTGACTTGCTAGTGACCTCACTCCAGTTGAGCTGTTGGCCGGAGATGGCGGGTTGCCCAGTCGACCAGATGCGAGATTGAAAGAGAGAGAGGTTCGTGTTGAAATCAGATCCCGTGGGGATCGGACAAGAAGAGGCAGAGAATTGCATCTCATGGGGCGCAGACTTGCTTCGAGGGGTGCATTCTTGCCGATTCCTCTCGAAGTTGGCATGTCGCCTGGCCGCGTACTCGGCCTCCAACCATCGCCGACACTCCTCGTTGATCATAGTCGCATTCATAAACTTGAGCTTTCCTGGGTTGCTCTTGGACCTTCCCCTCTCGTCCCTCATCCCCTCATAGTACTGAACTCCTCCGTTGAGACGCAGAACCTCAAACTTCTTTCGCAGCGTCGGGGAGCACGGCCTTGGATGCACTAGCAGAGCAAACAGGAGGAAAGCAACTCGACTTGCGAGGTGATGAGGCATGCTTCTTAAGATATGTCTCTCTCGGCGGGTGTCACCTTGTCATACAGACCTCAAAGATCAAGACTTCATGGTTGCCACTCCTTGCAACAAAGCCATCACTTCCGATTCATTCATGGTTTGAGCCGAACCGGCGCCTCTCACTGAGCGCCTCTCAGCGGCTCTCAGCCTCTACCTACAGTCCTGCTGCGTCCATCGGATTCACTCGTACCTCCCTCCTCCTCCTCCTCCTCCTCCTCCTCCTCCTCCGCTGCTATCCCGAGAAGCGTCCAATCCAGCCATATTATAAAATATTGACTATAATACCTTCACCGTAACTAATGATTTAACTTAACTTTAAGTAAACCAAAAGGAATACCGTGCAACAACCGTTGTTTCCAGCAAGAGGTTGAACCTGTCCAGCAAGAGCCCTTGACAGCGGGTCGAGAGCAGACGTCTGCTCTGCTGGAAGATGAAGGCCTCGCCGTACATGTGGCTGGCCAGCGCCATCTTGAGCATCATGCTTCTGCAGCCTCATCGTGTGGAGTCGCTTTGCATGGGTCAGCCTTGCACACAAAATAGCGATTGCTCCAAGATTTGGTCTGCAAACGATCCCTATCCCACTAAAGGCTACTGCTCTTCTTGTTACGGCAGTTGCAGTGGTGGCGGACACATTCGTTTGACTGGTTGCGATACATCCAAGAAGTATTGTATAGGAAGTAACTGGGCGTACCCTGCTTGGTGCACAGATCAGCCTGGACTTGCAGGTTGTCACTGCCCTCCTGGTACCTCAGGCCCGATCGGTTCCTCGAACTGTACCGTATGTGCAATCGGGAAGTACGGAGGAGGAGCAGACTTACCTTGTGCGGATTGTCCCCAAGGATCTCACGGAGTTCTCTCCGGTGAAGGCTCCCTGCTTCAAGCATGCAAACGAGAAGACGTCCCATGCAGCGGCGATCTTCACAACGAGACGGTAGCACAGCAGGTGGAGACTCTAGCTGGAAATGGCATCAGTGGCTTTGCGGACGCGGAGGACTCTACTGTTGTTGAGTTCGACGGTCCCTGGGGTGTTGCGGTCTCGTTGGACGGGCAGCAGTTGTTCGTGGCAGATCGATATAATCGAAAGATCAGGGCAGTGCATGTGGGGCATGGAGCCACCAAGACGTTGGCTGGTTCAGGCGCTCCCGGAGTACTGGATGGAACAAGTTCCACTGCGAGAATCTCTCCTACAGGGCTGGCGCCGAAATCAGATGGCAGAAACGTGTATGTCTCAGAGTGCGAGAACCATCTCATCAGGAAGGTCTACATGTTGGAACAGCACGTCAGCACCATCGCTGGATCCTCGCAAGGCTTCGCTGACGGTGCAGCTGGTGCTGCAAGATTCAACTGCCCGTACGGGCTGGCCTTGTCTCCCGATGACTTGTGGCTCTACGTCGGGGATCGAGACAACCACAGGATCCGCAAGGTGAGCATGCGAGATGGTTCAACGACGACCCTCGCCGGCACAGGGACCCCAGGGTTTGCGGACGGAGACTGGAACAGCTCGAGTTTCAACCAGCCGTGCGGCGTCTCGACATCGCCCGATGGACAGTGGTTGTATGTTGCTGATTCCGGCAACAATCGAGTCAGAAAAGTCAACACTACTAGCGGCGCGACGTTGACGCTGGTGGGGAAGGGAGACCTAGGTTCCGCTGACGGAGAAGCAGCCACGGTGTCTCTCTCTACTCCTCTCTCAGTTGCAGCATCGCCTGACGGGCGCTATCTCTACATCGCAGACTCTCTCAGTCAGAGGATCCGTCAGGTCCGCCTGGCAGATGGCTGGACAAGAACCCTCGCGGGGTCGGGCAATCAAAGTTTCTCAGACGGCCCTCCCTCCGAGTCAAGCTTCAACACGCCTGCCGCCATCGCCGTGTCTCCCGACGGCTTGACTGTCTACGTGGCAGACCTCAACAACGAGAGAGTCAGGAAGATCGCTGTGCGAGATGTTTGTGTCGCCTGTGACTTGATACCGCCCGTCAACACGACTGGCTGTGCTTCTGAAGCATCGTCTCCTCCCCCTCTCAACGTCAGCTCCGAGTCGCCGGGTTGCGTTCTGAATGCCACATGGGAAGAGATAGTCTCGCGCAAGCACATGACTGGTAAACGAGAGAAGCTCTCGTTCGCGACTGGTGAGCCTATGAGATCACTTCTTCGCTCCTCTACTGGCACCTTGACTGCACTTGCAGGAGGACTAGGAGTCCTCATGGATGAAGACTACTCTGTGTGGGTTTGTCAGTTCGGGCACCCTTGTGCTGCTGTGAGATCGGCCTTCGAGCCATCCAACCAACTCTTGACAGAAATTCTGCAGACTGACGATTCTTCTACATCTGGAGCGATGGACGCTTTCTGCTTTAAGTACCACGAAGACAGGTAATTCACTTTGCTGCATCTGGTCCCTACGATATCTCTCTGATGATTTCTCTCCTCTCAGGGAGGTTTTTGTGCCATGGGCACGAAATTCTGAGCTAAAACTGATAGATCCATATAGTTGAAGGAATAAACTCAGAATTTTCTCCTTCCCTGAAGTACAACCAACAGGATCCCTGAACAACAATCAATAGCATCTCATCCGTCGATTGTCCTTTTTCCTGTTCCCTCCTGTCTCCTCTTTTCGCTCCCCTCCCCAGCCCCGACCTCGCTCTCCTCGTTTTCCTGCCATCTTTCTGCTATCACTTCGTTTTCTTTTTTTCACGTTGACTGAAAAGTTCTCGACGCCTCTGTTTCCATGCAGGGCAACGCGACGGCAGCGAAGGTGCCGGCAGCCGCCAAGTTAGAGCCTGCGGTGCAGAACTATGAGTGGGGGGTGAGAGGGGGAGGACAGAGCAGCCTCGTTGCGAGGATGGCTAACGCACAAGTAGCGGAAGAGAAGCCCTTCGCTGAGCTCTGGATGGGAACGCATCCGAAGGCACCCTCGGTGGTGCTCGAAGACGGGTGGAGCGGGATGGTGCTGGGCGAATTTCTCCGTCTAAACGAGGTTTTCATGGGTTCAAAGGCTGGCATGTTCGGAGGAGACTTGCCGTATCTCTTCAAGTGTCTTTCTGTTGCAAAGGCGTTGTCAATTCAAGCGCACCCTGACAAAACGTGAGATTTACCATGCGAGCTGATGAGATGAGACATTCTGAAAAAGATCTTGATCGCAGGCTGGCAAAGCTTCTACATGCAAGGGATAAGCCGAACTATCCCGATGATAACCACAAGCCAGAGCTTGCGTGTGCTGTGACCGAATTCGAAGGTCTCTGCGGATTTCGAAAATTAGACGAAATTGTGGAGAATGTTGGTGCCGTGCCGGAGTTGAAGGAGCTGATTGGTCAGGATACGGTGAAACTGATGGAGTCAAGCCTAGACAAGGATGCTCAATCGCGAGCAGAGGCTCTTAAACAAGCATTTAACATGGTGATGTCAAGTCCTGAAGACCGGGTAAAGCATCAGGCAAGCAAGATGGTGGACCGTTTGAAGTCAAGTCAAAAACTCAGGTAACGATGATGATCTTTTGATGCACAACATATAAATGTTGTTCCTCTCCTCATACGTTTCACAGGGACGTGGAGGAGCTAGTCCTTCGGATCAACGAGCAATTCCCTCTTGACGTCGGCCTCTTCAACATTTTCTTCTTGAACCATGTGAAGCTCAGGCCGGGGCAAGCTCTCTTCCTTGGTCCCAACCTTCCTCACGCTTACCTCTCCGGGGATTGCATGGAGATCATGGCGACGTCGGACAATGTGGTGAGCCATCGAAGGCCTCTCGTCAAGCGGGAGGTTGACGCTTCGACAGGTCCGAGCTGGGTTCACTCCCAAGTTCAAAGACGTGGCAACCTTGTGCTCTATGCTGGACTATGAGCGATCGGGGCCAGCTGAGATCATGGAGGGAGAGGCCAGGGAAGGAATGCGCGTTTATGCGCCTCCGGGGCATGACTTCCCCGAGTTCTCTTTAGCTCGCATCGAGGCAAGAGTACCGTTGCTGACGCCTGTGATCTGATTTTTCTTGACAGTTGAGCTCGAGGGCAGTCGATCTTGGCAATTCAGTTGCTCCAAGGATATTGATTTGTGTGGAAGGCCAGGCACAGCTCCGAGCAAACTCGGATGGAATGAATGATTCATTGGCTGTCACGGATATTCCGATCAAGTAAGTAGAGGCTCGATGTAGTTCCAAATCCGTATCTACTTCTAATCGATTTTTGCCAGAACTTCATCGGTAGTTGTGCTGGCTGCCAATTGTTCAGCAAGTCTCGAGCCATCAGCAGGTCTTGTATGTGTTCCCAACATGGAGAGGCTAACAAGTCTCGACAGGTGCGGGAGCTCTAGTATTCATGGCTTGCTGCCATCCCTGTTTGGAGGCTTCTAGTGGGTAATGTACATGATTTGATCAAGGCTTAAAAAGCAAGTCATGAAGCCTCATAGAGGATTATCCTTTGAGCGATCGTCCCTCGCCTTTGAAGGCTGCAAAGCTGTCAGCCTCCCCTACAGCACCCTGCCAGGCGATCAGACTCAGAAGGCTTCGGATCTGACGTCGTACCTTGCCATCGAGTGAGGGCTGCATTCCTCCGTGTCTTTCGAATCGCAGTTTCCATTGTAATGCCGGCTGCCATGCAAAGTTATGAAGTGCGAGACGCTATTGAGGTTCCACCTTCTTCTGTGGAGTAACGGTGTCGGTTTGCATTTCGCTGCTTCTACGCATTCGTCAGCTTGTAAACATCTCGCATTCACCGGAGCTTACCCTCCGCCGTCAACCGCTTTGCCGTTTGGTCGTGATCCTGTGCCGGTGAATGCCTTTATCTATCGAAAGGTGTGATTACTCCCAAGAAGTGAAATGAATGAAGAACACAACAACGCACCGTCTTGTTGTTAGCATCTATCTCTTCGTTTTCAGGATTTTCAAGGTCCGCAAAAAACTGCAACAATTGTAAGTTGAAATGGGTGTGGGACAACGAGGAATTCTAAGGATACATGCATCTTAGGGGCTCTGGCACTCGGACTGGCTCGACATAATCAGCCGGAGCATCAAAATCCACGTTGACGTCAGCATCGACAATGGAAATCGCCCCTGTGTCTCGTGGTTTGATATCCACAACATCTATGTCATATTGCTTGTTGTTGTAATGAATTCGGATGGTCGAGCCTTTCGTCAGTGCTGAGAAACTTCGTAGAGTATTCTCAAGGACAGCCTTGGGATTCGCTATGTCCAAGAACGTTTTGCTCTGTGGCCGCAACTTGACATACTGACCCTTCGGAAGTGTGGCGCTCTCAACGGTGACCAGGTCGCCATGGTCCACACCAAGATTTTGCATCATCTGCGAGAGTTCAGACGATCAACCCAGAGGAACACATGGTTACTCACCCAATGCGGCATCAGCACACTGCCTTCGTTGGCGATGAATTCTAGAACGCCACAGTGCAGCTTGCGACCATTGGCTCTGTTAGTAATCTCGAAGAGCATGGGGTATGCTATTTCCAACAATGACAGCTGCTGTAGAGCTGACGGAGGCAGCATAATCTTGCCTCCTGCTTCGAGCTTGGAAGTGTCAGACTTGTCAGCTGCTGCTACCGGGATAGCATGATATCTCTGTGAGAAATTCGCTTGTCCGAAGCCTCGTCCTCCCATCATCCGCATCGGTCCACCAAACCCGCCGCCGTATCCACCAGGGAAACCAGGGGGAAACGGAAATGCCATGACCTATCCAAGAATCGTTAGTCCCGGTACCAGGTCTAGACATTCTTGCGTGTGTGCACTTGTTGCTCTCATTCGTACATCAAATCTTATACCGTCCTACTTCATGGCAGGTGCCACAATCCGTATCATCTCACGTTGAGAATTTCTCTTGAAGCGTAGCAGTACACCACAAACAAACTCATTCTGAACATCAGCTGACTATCATCCGGTAGTAGGAATCAATCTCTTCACTGACACTGCGATGTTCATGTCGTCATGCTCTCTCTCTGCATTTTAAGTCGCTGACTCTGCATCTTTTATAGCTTGCTTCCTGCCATGGCGTCTACTGAGCCCATTCCATCGCCACCCCCACACCACCCTCTGGACACCCTGCTCCATCATTTAACCCCTACTCTGAAAATCAATACCGGTACTTATGTGATTTATATGGGCTATGAACCATGGGGTACTTTTAGTACCCTACCATATCCTATCCCACCACCAGAATAGAAACACCCCTACACAATCCATAGGACAGTCTGGCAATGGTACCCCTACCCCCCTCAAGCCTGTGCCTCAGTGGGGTAGATTTGACGTACAGAGATGCACAGACAGGCCTAGGTGATTCGATGAGAAAATAAGGGGTGATCGAAGGAGAAAAAGGCAGAAACAGCTTTTCTATAAGCCAATTTTCTGCCTTTCATATAGGTCCCGAAAAATTGACGAGGCGAACCCGATGACGGATAACGGACAATGCTATGGCGATACCTGACAAGGAAGGGAAGGGAGGAAGTACAAGGGAGCACGGGAAGAAGGAACAGAAGGAACAGGGGGAAGATGATCTGTGTAAGTGTTACAGAGAATGTCGAGAATGAATATGGAGAACTGTCAACACGCTGCAGTGAATCGAGCTCTGAACGTTCGGCACTCGCACACGAAGGGTCCTGGCTCCTCTTGGACTCTGACCCCTCGGGTGCTCGTGGTCTTGAGAAGACCGAGGATCATGCGAGAAGGGGCGTACCTGCTGTAGGATGAGACGAGCGTGCTTTGAATGTTGTATGATAGAATACAAGAGAGGTCTTTGAGGGAGTAGAATGAAATAGTCGAGGAGTACATTTCTGACACGATAGAGCTGAAACTGTGACAGACATCATGAAAGTCTTGGAAGCCTGCTGAACGATGGTGTTCAACAACGAAGAGCTCTTCTCTTCTTGCTCCGGACGATCGTTGCCAGGTTACGAACTGACAAAAGAGACTTACGAACAAGTTTGGGACTCCTTGACCAAGTGGATCAAAGCGACCTTTGAGGGTAAAAGTCAGGTGCATTGAAACTCAGCCTCACTCCTGCTCACCCCCCATCTCCTCTCTCTTTCTCGCCCTCTCCTCTGTTAATTCTTTCTCTGTCCTCGTCTTCGTTGCTGTTGCTCTCCTCGCCGTTCCTCTTCAGCTCTGTACCCCGCCAATCGCCCTCCACCTCCTTCCCACCCGTCCCGATAGATAACTTTCTGATGAATCAAGGGGGTCAACATACCTCACTTTCTCAAGATAACATGGGCTGGAGGAAAACTCGGCGCCAAGAAGTCTGAGGTAGCGGCGAGGAGACGCCTGGCTCGGCTCAGGTTCGAATGAGCAGGAGAGAGCTGACTTAGGAGGACGAGCAAGCTCCGAGGGGGTCGGGGTAGCAAGACCGCACGTGTGCCTGTCCGAGTACTTCATCCAGCAATACGGCATTCGGTGCTTGCGCGGCGCCTTGGGCCTTTCTCATCCCGAAACCTAGGTACCGCAAACCTGCCGAGCTACCAGAGGCGAAGTGCGAGGAGATCAACTTTGCCAAGGTGCTGGGGACCTGGTGAGGGCTGGTCTAGCTGACACGTTCGGGCTCTTGACAGCTGGCGATCAACTACTCGGAGAATCTGAAGAAGGATGTCATCACCACTGCCTTCAAGGTGAGGAGCTGCCACTGACCTGGTGCCCTGGTACTGATCCCGGGGCCTCAGAGGATGGTCAGTGCGATAGGAGAAGCGATCAGGGAAGGGAAGGAAGTCGAAAGTAAGCAGGATGCCGATATCTGTTGACTTGTTCTGACGCCTCCCTCCCTCACTCCTCACTCCCTCCCTCCCTTCTTCCCTTCCCTTTAGTCTCGTTTGGAGTGGGAAGGCTCTTTGGACGTCGGCAGCATGCCACATTTCTCATGGAGTCTCAGTACCTCGTGAGTGACACCTCTTCCCTCTTGCCTTGCATGCTGAAAGAGGTGAACGCGTGTGCTGTTGCTCATGCCCTGCTCAGCCCGACGGAGTTTCCATGAAGAGCGCATCCACGTCCCATCCCTTCAGGTTCAACAGCAGGGCTGCTGAGCCTCGTGACTCTCCTGCAGCTCCCCGTCGAAACTTCACTCGGCTCACTCGGCTGAGAGCTCCAGGCTGACCTCTCAGTCCTCCAGGTCGTCTCAGCGCCCCCCCAAGTCCTCAGCGAGGCCTATCAAGTGACCGCATCGCCCTGTCGGCCGCACGTTGGCTGATGTTTGAGGAAGGATGTTGGTCGCCAACGGAGGAAGGGGTGGAAATTCTTCCCTGGTAGCCAGTGAGCCCATACCTGAAGAGCAGGACGAGGAGGACAAGAAGCCCGAGCTGCACCGGTGTGTGTATGTGCTGGACTGACGGACGAGGTTTGACTTTGGTTGCAGCAGAGGAAAAGATCATTCAGAAGGAGCCGAGGTAATGTCGAAGAAAGAAGAATGTTATGATTCACGCTCTATTTCCATGAAAGCTTGACGAAGTGAACAAATCTCGTCATGTTGGTACCACAGAAGCCGTGCACGGCAAGAAGGAAGAAGTAGAGACGTCGGGGAGACGAGATCAGGTGATGCTTGACATGCTACAGTGCGATGATAATCCTCCGGCAGCAGAAGCAGCAAGTTGCGAGGGAGACTCTTCCTCCTCTTCCCCTCTTGCAGGAGAAAGTGCAGAGCCTCGACCTCGAAGACGCGACCAACCTCACGCCGGTAGGTGGAGGCAAGCAGGCTACCAGCTCACTCAGCTGTTTGCTAAGGGAGCGAAACGTCGCATCGAACGATGGCTGCAGGACGATGACGATCATCCGCGAGTAGCGGAGGTAGGCCAGTCATCTGCCGAGCACGCAACTTGCTGACGTCTTTGACAAGCATGAGGATGAATCAAGCTACAGACCTTCTCCTTCCTCCTCTCCCATGCTCTCTCTTCGATCGTCAATGCGTCCATCAACAGGTCTAATTTGCCTGGGCCCTTCGCATCTCATTCATGGCAGGTTCTACGCATCGATCCGTCGCAGCCTTGGCGGCCTCAGCTCAGATGCGCTACAAGATTTAACGGCAGACTGACAAAGTCTGACTAGCTCGTTTCTTACAAACATTAAAGAAAGACAAAAACAAACACAGAGCACAGCTCTACGAGCTTGTCTTCGACACATTGCTGCAATTCGCCGCAGCCACTGCACTAAAAGATGGCGTGAATCATGTCGCTCATATCACGTTTAGCAAGTGTATTCAAAATCGAGCTCTACGACCGCTTACAACTGGATGCTGTTCTTGTAGGCCTCGAAAGCAGTGGTGTCTCCCTTGAGGCAGCAGGTGTCAAAGATGAGAGCAGTGACAACATAGGGATCGATGTTGGAGGCAGGGCGACGATCCTCCATGTAGCCCTTGCCGTCACGATCGGTGAAGCGGGGAATACGGATGGAGGCACCACGGTCAGCAACTCCGTACTTGAAGTTGTCGATGGAGTTGGTCTCGCAGGTTCCGGTAAGGCGGCGCTCGTTGCCCTCGCCGTAGAGTCTGATGTGCTTCTCGTGGTTCTTGCCGAGCTTTTCGCAGGCATCAAGGATGACCTTGAGGCCTCCGTCGGCACGCATCTTCTTGGTAGAGAAGTTGGTGTGGCATCCAGCTCCGTTCCAGTTTCCAGGGATGGGCTTGGGGTCAAAGGAGACAATCACTCCGTTCTCCTCGCAGACGCGCTGGAGGAGGAAGCGAGCCATGTGGAGGTGATCGCCAGCCTCGATGCCGACGCAGGGACCAACCTGGAACTCCCACTGTCCAGGCATCACCTCTCCGTTGATACCGCCGACGTTAAGGCCGGCTTCGAGGCAAAGCTCGAGATGCTCCTCGCAGATGAGGCGTCCGAACGAAACGTCATGGCCAACTGCACAGTAGTATGGGCCCTGGGGTCCAGGATAGCCGAACTGCATGAGAGGGCTGGGAATGTCAAAGGGACGAGCAGTAGACTTGGGCCAGCCCATGGGAACGCCGTCCTGGAAGAGAGTGTACTCCTGCTCGATACCGTACCATGGCTCCTCCTCGGGCGCCTGGTCAAAGATCTTCTTAGCCACACTGCGGGTGCTGGTAGGGATGGGGTTGTTCTTCGGGTCGATCATCTCGCAAAGGACGAGGATGTTGTCTCCTCCACGCATGGGATCCGCGCACATGAAGGCAGGCTGCAAGTAGATCTCAGAATCCCCTCCCGGGGCCTGACCAGTCGACGATCCATCGTAGTTCCACAGGGGAAGCTCAGAGACCGAGGTTGGACGCTTATCCAACACACGGGTCTTGGAGCGGTAGTCATCTCCGCATCCTCCTCTACCTCCGATCCAGATGTACTCAGCACGGCACTTTCCATGCGCCATACGAAGCGCAGCTGCGAATCGTGGGGATGGGCGAGCAGCGAGGGATGGGCGCGGCAAAGGGGAGGCATGCCTGGCTGCAGCAGACTTGAGGGTGAGTGAACGAGAAGAGAGAAGGGAGGAGGGAGTGGAAGGAAGGAATGCAGAAGTGCACGGGAGGAGGAGGAGAAGTCCTCCGAGAACTGCGTGCATGGCGGCTGTCGAAGGTTGGGAAGGGACGAGAGATAAGAAAGGGGGGGAGAGAGGTCCCCTACCCCCCTTAGACGAGGATCTACACCACCTTTTTGTACCCCTACCCTCGATTTTCCTTGGATTTCCTATATAATCCGGTACCATGTACCCCCTTTAAGTATACCCCCACCTTCCTGAGGTGTTGCCAAACTCTTTATATACGCGCCCCCATAAGGCCGGAACGCCCCCACCCCTTCCACCGTATCTTGGTACCACCCCACCCACAAGTTTCCCTTTCTCAGATATCAGCCCAACCCCTATAACTATATGCTTCCTCCATTTAGGTGGGGTGGGGTACATCCGCTGAGATAAAAAAGCTTTCACGGTGTGGCTAGTGGATAGGGTGGGGTAGTCGAATTTGGTGTACAAAACTGGTGGGGTACTGTTCCACGGACGACAGCTTCGTGGACTGATGACTTCAGTATGAGCATGTGGGGGTAGTGACCCTACCATATATGTATACTATCAGACGGACCACAATGATAGGGTATATTTTGGCTACATGAGGCAACCACCCCTACTGAAGTGACAGCACCCTTCGGGGCTATACAGGGGTGGTGGAAACACGTGGTAGGGTGTACACCTACCCAACAGCAGATGATGATGTTTGGAGGGGTGTCTGAGGAACTGATGAGTTCTTGTTGGAAATGAGGAGGGTGGGGTGTTACTTAAATGGGGGTAGGGGTACTACACGTGGGGTGCGGATCCGCACGAGCCTTTTTTTTTTTAGGGCAGCCGCATCACGACTACCCTCCCTTATTCCTATGACTACCCCTCGTACATACGTGACCCCAACACCCTACCCACTTTCCCAACCATACGAAATAAACGGCTGAGGCTCAAGTGTCTATGTCCGCCGGGCCCCCGGCCGCCCGGGCCAGGCGGTACCGGCGGGCCCGGGGCGGCTGCTGACTGCCAGCAAGCCTGCTCTGTCACCCGGCCGGTGACTCACCGGGTCGGCTGAGCGGTTTCAGCCGAACTTCCGGACTCGTCCTTGCCGCCGATGATCCTGTTCCACGGCGACTTCAAGCGGCTGCCGGGCCGTTCATGCGGTGGCCCGGAGCTGGACCGTGCTGGCCGGCCGCCGGGCGAACCGTCTGCCCGGTCCGGGACACCCGGATCAGTCATCAGTACTGTACGGTATGGTATGCCAGCCCGGCCTGCCTCAGTGAGGCCACCCGGCCCGTTGGGACTCAGTCCAGACTAGTAGTACTGAGCTCACCTCAAGGTAAGGATTATAGACTCGCGATGGACATCAGCTTAGAGATAGAGCGAACCTCTGACTTGCTGGTGTCAATGAAGGAAGATGTCGTGCAAGGGAGAGCAGAGGAGGCATGTTATCATGCAAGAAGGATTCAAACACTTACAGCCAGAGAGTGTATCTACACCAGAGAGATGAGAGCCGTTCTGACAGCTTATGTCCGGCATGAAACACTGTTGCAAACCTCCAAGAATTGCTGCTTGTCCTCGCTCATGATGGAAGCAGGACGACGGGATATAGCACAACTCGAGAAAGATGGGCAAAACAACAGAATACGAGTTTGGAGGTTGACCCTTTGTCTTTGACATCAAACTTGACGACAATTTCGAAGGTCCGATCGGAACGACGATAAACATGATTGTGCTTCCCCTTGTCGTCGTCTTCCTCTACCTCGCGTGAGTTGCCGACTTCCCGAGCTCGGCTTGTTCTCAGCGCTCACACCAGATGCCCCAACGGCGAGTCATCTGGGTTCTGTTTGAGAGGGGTGGACGTCTTTCAGCTCAAGCACATGCCCATACCGTGACATCCCCTATGTTCGCTTCTATTCCTCACGGCTTACCAGGGGCTTGTCGCAACTTTTCTCCCTGGATGCGTTTGCGGTAGGTCCTGAGAGACCCTGTGCTTGCCTTCATCTTGTCTCAGATGTGCGCGGGATGGTTCCTCTTCCTCGTCTTCCTGGAGCGAATTCTACCCTACAAAGTCGGGCAAGGAGTGGTTCGAATCGTGAAGCAGCACTACAGCTCGAGTCACTAGTTCGCAGGAGCTTTCCAACGGGCAACGACTGAAGTACAGGATCAATGGTGAGCATGGCAAGGGACAAGTGCCCCGGCTCACTCCCCCTCAGGACACCTCACCTTCTGGGTCTCCCTGTTTGTCGCGGAGCACTTCATTGACTTGAGGAAACTTGCTAGATTGATCGATTCAGAAAGATTCTGATTGGTTTGACCTTGCAACAGCATTCTGTATGACAAGTATCTGGAGCTAGCAGTTGCGGCAATCTCTCTCTCCATCCTGCTGTCAGTCTACCTCTACCTCTCCTCCTTCAAGAAAGGTTCTTGTCGCTACCCCATGACCACAAACAAGTCACCCTTAGGGATCTTAGGAGCGCTCCTGGCCAAGGGAGGAAATACAGGGTGAAGCATCTTTCGCTGACACTCTCCTGGACTCAAAGGGCCTCAGATGTGCACCCTATGACTTCTGGATGGGGAGAGAGCTGAACCCGAGGGTTGGAGACTTCGACCTCAAGGTCTCTGCCCGGTGATTTTACTCTCCCTTTATTACCCGTCAGGTTTTCTGTGAGCTCCGGCCGGGACTCATCGGATGGATGCTCTTGAATCTTGGTACGCACTGCGCGCAGTCTTGAACCAGGTGGATGCTGAGTACAACCAAGGGATGCTGCAGAAGCAGCGGCAACTGAACAACGGCTCTGTCTCAACCTCCATGCTCCTTGTCAATGCCTTTCAAGGATTGGTCGTCCGCGTGTGGCACAGTGGTGACTGCCTGACTGTCACATGTAGTATGTGTGGGATGCGCTGTACAACGAGGAAGCAGTCCTGACGACTATGGTGAGTTGCTGACAGCTGAGACGGCCCCTGGCGCCTGTTGACCTCCAGGTAGGATGTCACCACCGATGGTTTTGGGTACATGCTCTGCTTCGGAGATCTTGCATGGGTTCCTTTCACTTATAGGTATCTTGACGTTTGTCTCTCGTAGCTGACTGAGCATGAAGCCTTCCTGCTCGCTACCTCGTCACTCACAACGCTGGGCTGTCGGACGAGGTAAGAAGCCTCGACAGGCGGCTCGTCTGACAAGGATGCTGCAGATTCTCTTGGCGTTTGCGTTGCTCGGCATGCTTGGCTTCTACGTCTTTCGTGCCTCCAACAGGTGGGAGTTGGTCGGCAGGATCAGTCCGTGCTGGCACGAAGCCTGCTAATGATGCGGTGGCCCGACAGCCAGAAGGACGCCTTCCGTCGGGACCCTCAGTCAGAGGAGGTGAAGCACTTGAAGTACCTCAAGACTGAGCGAGGAACGTCCTTGATCGTGTCAGGATGGTGAGAAACAGCTCCAGCCCCGAGAGTGCGATGGGTGAGCTTGCGTCAGGTGGGGCTTAGCTAGGAAGATCAACTACACGGGCGATTGGTTTTTCGGGCTGTCTTGGTCTCTCTTCACAGGTCTGACGTTCCGCTCAAGTTCCTCGAGTCAACGTGAACCCGCAGGCTTCGGCTCCATCCTCACCTACTTCTACCCGATCTACTTCGCCGCTCTCCTCGCGCATCGTGCATGGTCCTCCTTTCGATTTGCTCACAATGCCAACGATTGTCCTGAACCTCCATCAGGCGAGACGATCACGCGTGTTCGCTCAAGTATGGAGCTGACTGGAAGAAGTTCAAGGTGATGGCTGGCCGGGTTGTCGAGGCCTAACGATCATGCAGGAGATGGTTCCATACGTCTTCTTCCCCTGGCTCTTCTGAGTCACGGCGGCCATTTCAGGATCATAGTATCCAACTGTCATTTCAAGTTACTTGTCAAAGTAAAGGATCTGACGATCCTCTCGAACTCTTCGATGCCTCAGCGGCAGCCTGCAGCCTCGCGCCGCATCCACTGAGTGAGCCTCGGTGCCTAGCGTGGACCCTTGTGCTGGGAAGAGCATGGACTGGCTCGGGACATAGGATATCGACTCCCGCAGCGACTACAGCCTGAACGAGCAGGAGCTGGGTAACCCCGTCCGCGAGATGCATTACTGGGGAGGGTCATCGACCTTCTGCTTTTGGCATGTCTCACCCCATGTTGCTCTTCTGGCAGGACGTGCCCGGTCTGGCAGACCCCATCTTGACAGCGAGATCTGCTCCTCCTCCTCCTCGCAGGACTGCACCTTTGCACTCCAGGATACCGACAGCTGCTAACTCCACGGCACCGTGGATTTCCTCACAGGGAACAAGTAGAATGAGAAGGCAAGCTTCTCCAATGCGGGCATGTGCAGGAGGTCCTTAGACTGGCCACAGGCCAAACGGGTGCGGAGTTGAGGTACCTGCCGTTAGACATCACGACGGATGCCGGCAAACGCATGCCACTTTGGCCAGGACACCAACTTCGTGAGCCGGTACGGCTGTGACAATGTCAGGGATGTCTTCCTGTTGCTGCGCCTGCAACGAGCAGCAGATCACACAGACCTCCTGCATGACCACCTGCAGGACATGAACCAGGTGGATGCCAACTGCCTCTTCCTCAACAGCGAAATGCAGCAGCCCACCCACCCACCTTTGGTAGCATCCCTCGTGCGCAGTGTACCACCCAGCCGATGTGCATCATACAACCCGGCGACACCTACGGATCCTGCTCCTGCTTCCTCAAGCGTGTGGACCCACAGTCATGCCAGTCCACCGAGATCGGGAGGACCGTCAACTACCAGCTCTCGGGGCTCTGCCTTGCCCAGGCCACGGCATCCTTTTCGGCGGGGAGCAGCTCTACCTACCTGATAGTCTACAACAAACTCCTTGCCACCCCCTGTGTCAATGCCAACCCGAACAGGAGATGTCTACAGCTCCGCCCTCAGCTCTGTGCCCATGCTCGTGTCCCTGGGGATCGGTGGGGTCTCGGGTAGCGGGTCCCCCGCCCCCCCTTCGCGGCGACCTGGGACGTGGGGTAGATCTTCTGAGCATCCGACGTTCCCCAATAAATCACTGATCAGCCCTGTGGTGTCCACGAAGGGCCTGCAGGATATCATGGCAGCCCTCAATCGAACTGGTAGTTGATCGGCCATGCAAAGGAGCTGTCCACCCATGCACCGCTGATCTTGGCCGGCGCCCACCGCTGGCGTGATGCCATCGTTGAGGGATATCTAGGCGGCGAAGCGCTGGACCTCCGTCCTCCCCGTGCCGCCTATGCTCCAGGAGCTTGCGGGCAGGTGGCAGTGGCGTCCTACTAGGCTGCTGAGGGCCTCCTCCCGGATGGCGACTTCGACCTCACTGAGTCTACTTGACTCGCCGTAGACAGATTGAACTTCCGAGCGGGCTGGACCGATCACGGGCCTCACTGTGCTGAGGTCCACTGAGGAGGATAGATGGGTGGAACTCAAACGTTCCGAGTCACTACTGGATAGTTCAAGTTCACTCAAAGTTAAGAGAACCAACGGGCCCTCACCGGGGCCTTCAAGTAGTGACCGACCGATCCCGACACTGCCGACAGCTGGCGGCCCCGGGCCCGCCCCCGCGTCGGTCACGAGTCCCGGCCTGCCCCGGGCCGCGCCTGCCGGCACCGTCCGGTCCGATCACTGAGCTGCACTGCGGCAGGCCCGGCGCATTCTGGGCACCGTCACTGCACCGGCGGTACAGTACGCTGTGTTCCGAGTCATCGAGTCAATGACCGAACTGAGTCGGTCCAAACATCGGGCTCAGGTTGCCAGTACGAGCCTACTGGGCTGCCATGGACGAGGCGAAGAGCAAAGAAGCAGACGTGAAGGGAGAAGGAGGGGAGGTGAGAGAGGGATCAGGGCAAGAAAGCGAGGACGAGGACGAGGACGAGGACGAGGATGAGGACGAGACAGATCGTAGAGAAGAACCAAAGAAGACCGCTTCCCATGTCACCATCGCACCTGGTACCGAGTTTGCTACCCGGCAGGGCTCCAGCAAGAGCGATCATACTGCTCTGAGGCCTCTCACCAGCCAGACGTCCACCAGTGCGGCCTCCATGTTCAGCCTACCCGAGGAGGAGGAATGGAAGCCTGGCTCTGAACCCCTCAAGTGGACAGACCCCAACTACAAGGCCACCAAGTACGCCATGGCAGGGATACACCACAACAACAACAAGGATTTCATCAAGCCTGAGGGCTGGTGGTGGAGCGCCGAGGAAGCGATGAAAGTGCTGCAGGCGGAAAGGAAGGGGCTGAAAGGAATGGGAGGGCAACAGAGCAGAGTTGTCAAGGGGCTGCTTGAAGCAAACAGGTTCCTCTCCAGAAGTTTCGTCAGTATCTCCGAGAGGTTTGCGGATAAGAAAGATCAGGAGGAGCTGCAGCCCATCTCTCACGTCTTGCCGCCAGACGTGCAGCGACAGCTGCATGCCAAGACCTGCCAGGCAGCGAAGAAGGGAGACATCGAGATCATGAGCTCCCTCCTCCGGTTCGAGGTTGACGTGGACTTGTCTGATAGTTTCGGGACTCCGTTGCATTACGCTGCTGCCTTCGGTCAAGTAGAAATAACCAACATGCTCTTGGTGAGGCTCGCTTCCACCAACACCAAATCCTCTTTCCTACCACCCTGCTCTCTCCTTCCTCTCCTTCCTCTCCTCCTCCCTCGCCACTTCTCCCTCTCCACCTGCCTCTGCTCCTCGTGTGACTTCAACCGACCAACAGCTTCGAGGCGCGTATCCCGGCTCACTCAACTTCCAGCATCAGACTCCTCTCCACCTTGCTGTTGGCAACAATCACAGATTCGTCGCGGACCTGCTCATCAGGTATGGTGCTCCCTTGAACGCGCGAGACGTTGGTGGAACGTCACCCATCCATGTCGCGTCCTCTCGGGGATACGCAGAAGCTGTGGACGCACTAATAGCAGGAGGAGCAGATTGCAACAGGACCAACATGATCGGCTGGACTCCTTTGCACATGGCGGCGATGGGAGGTCACCACGAGGTTTTAGAGAAGATGTGCGTGTCTGCGCTTGCAAACCCCAACATCGGTTGCACTGCAAACGCGGAGAGCGAGCTGGAGGGTCAGCAGAGGCTGGAGACGCGGAAAGGAGACACGCCGTTGCATCTTGCCGGGCGACTGTCATGCGCCGAATGTGCGAGGATCCTGTTGAGAAACGGAGCTGACGCCTACGCTGCTAACGACGACGGGGACACGGCACTGCACGTGTGCGTGAGAGCGAAGAGCGTGAAACTAACAGAAATCCTGGTGGAAGAGGACTGCCATGTTGTGAACGAGAAGAACCAAGCGAGAGAGACTCCCCTGGACGTCTGCGATCAGATTCTTTTCATGAGCAGTGGAAACTCTGAGTCAGATGTCGAAATCCGGCAACTCATGTCAGATATCAAGCTTGTCCTCCGATCAGCCGCTCTCAAGGCCAAGACTGTCAGTCGCAAAGAGTGGAAAGAGGAGGAAGAGAGCGAGGATGATTCTTCTGACGATGACGAAGTGATCAAGATAGAGGATCAAACAACTCTGGCAGATGAAGCGAATGCCCGGGAGCAGCTTGTCTCGATGCAGAAGGAGCTGGAAGCCGCAAGGGCTGAGGTCAAAGCGACGCAGGAGCAGAGCAAGACGAAGACCTACACGTTGAACGAGACTGTGATCGACCTCAAACGCCGCTTGGCCGAAACTGAATTCATTCTAGAGAGAGAGAGGGAGACCCGAAAGGAACTAGAAAAGGAGATTGCTGACCTTTTGGATCTGAGAGAAGATGAGCGGTAGCAGTTAATAAAAACAAACAACTTTCAAAGAGACTCTTGGTGCAAAATGAAGAAGATAATACTTGACTTATTCACAGATTTGATTGAATTATCAAACATTTGTCTATTTACACATCGTTGTCTTTATCCATGCAGCCTTTGATTCCTTTGAAGTCTTGTGACACAGCAGCTCTTGGAGAGCTGCTGGCGCTGCTCTGCTTGGTGCTGAGCCTCCGGATCATGGGCTGACAAGAGGGACAGTCACACATCGTTCACAACAAGGTCAACTACCTGAACCAGGCGACTGGCTGAGTTGCTGAAATGCTGTAGAGCACTTGAGGCTCTCCAGCGCGTTTTGAAATCGTCGGAAGCTTGTGTCTGATGGAGCTGGTCAGCATCAAGGAGGACAGGAAGACAGGAGAGCACGGACATTCTTCCTCCTGGAGTAGTAGTCTCGTAGCTGCGTCTGTAGGTTGAGATTGAACGCGTTGAGACTCTCCGTACGTCCCATTCCCATCTCGAGGATCCAGCGATGCCTGAGGCACTGCTGGGCTGTCGGGCGGGTCTTTGGATTCACCTGCAAGACGAAGGAAATGAAGTTCTTGGCCTCCTGGCTAATCGGGTCCCACTCAGGCGAAGGAAACCCGTACTGTCCCCCTAGGATCGCATCGTACATGGCTTTCTGGTTGTCCAGTTGGAAGGGCTGAAAGCCGCACAGCATGACGTACAGGATCACTCCTATCGCCCAGATGTCCACCTTGGCAGAGTACTTCTTCGGGAGCTTGTCCGCCCCGATGCTCATCACGATCTCAGGCGCCACGTACTCGGGCGTGCCGCAGGCTGTGTGCATGGAGTTCTGGTACGTCCCCAACGTACTGAGACCAAAGTCAGCGAGCTTGACGACGTTGTAGTCCGTGCTTGCTGGATCGTCGGACTTCATCAAGACGTTCTCGGGCTTCAAGTCGCGATGGCAGATGCCGAGGCTGTGCAGGTATGCCACAGCTTCCAGCACCTGGCTGATGAGCAGAGTTGCATCCCTCTCACTGAAGGTGCCGTTTTCAATGACGCGATCGAAGAGCTCTCCTCCAGAAGCGAGCTCTAGAACAATGAAGACGTGCTTCTCGTTCTCGAAGACGTCGAAGAGTTGGATGCATCCCTGGTGCTTCACCATCCTCATCATCTCGGTCTCTTTCTTGAGGTCGTTCTTGTTGAACTCGGGATGATCTTGCTCAAGGATCTTCACAGCAAACGATTCTCCAGTGACCTTGTGGTATCCGATCTTGCATTTGGCAATGCTTCCTCTGCAACAAAGGGACGTTGAGGATCAGGACGGGCGATCATCAACCATGCACTCACTGGCCAATCGTATCGCCGAAGGTGTAATAATCGATTATGTCTCTGTTTGCTCCGAGCAAGTCAAGCTTCGAACCGACTTCCGCCTACACCTGAGTGACCGAGGGGCTCAAAGACTCAGGCAGTCTCACCGCATGGTCCAGCACCGACAAAGCTGAAGCCCCGCAACCCATCACTTAGAAGCAGGCGTTGCTCGTCAGCCGTCTTGGCTCCCCTTCCTTTACGGTCTCATCGCCTCTTTCTACATAGGCATACCCGAGTAATCCTTGTAAACTTGTCAGTCGTGATTCAATCCCCACTCACGTGAAACCTGCCTCCCCTCCTTCTGTCTGACCTCCGGCACCTCACCCTACGAATTCAATGCAAACCCCTATGTATCTTCCCCTATGTATCTTCTCTTACTCGTCTCACCTCACCTCATCTTCTCCTGTCTTCTCCTGTCTTGTCCTTGCTTTTCTCCTCCCCCCCCTCCCCCCAGCCTCTCCTAACTAGCGACAACATCATGCTATTTCAACGGCTCGTCCCATTATCATCTCAGGGTACATTCTGAGTTGTACGGCGATGGGGGAGGCAGGGGGTGGGTAGTCGACGAAATCGAATAGAATGTAGGGGTGGTTTGGACCTTCTTTCACGGGGTAGTCGAACTTCAAGGGTCAGGTTTAGTACGAGCGGGCAGACGAGCCAGCAGACGAGCGGGGATGAGGGTAACATGAAGCGGGGATGAGGGCATCCAGTTTATAAAAAAGACCCAACGTGAACCACCCCTGGGTCAACCTGGTACCGTACCGTACGGTCTGTCACACCTTCACTATCATAGTATGAGCCCTGACCACCCCCTGCTATGGTACTAAACTCGGAAGAGTGTCACCATGCGTCGAGGGTACCACCACCACCCTTTCTCCCGTGGGATATTGAACGGGTCACCGGGGCCCCGACCTGTCGACTGAAAGATTTTTTCCATGGCACGGAAACTCCTTTTACTAAGTTTACCCCCAGGGGGTACTGGTAGTAACCCCCCGTCAAAAAGGTCCCGTTCTTGTACCCCCTACCCCCTCTCCGACCCTCTCCGACCCTCTTGCCAACCTGCCAAGTTCAGTTATGTCAACCCATCACCCCACCTCCCTGCCCGGCGCCGCCGGCGCGACACCCCACCCCTAGCCTGTGACAAAAGGATACCCCACCCCGTCCTAGTGAGGTGTATCGCGGCCATAGCACTAGCCCGGTCTACCCCTGATACCCAATCAGAGTCCTTCCCTTGCCAAGTTGGAATTCAGAGGTAGGGGTGGTGGGACCACTTATTGCGTTGGATTGCCTTTGGAGTAAACTTGCCGGGTGGGGTGGTCTGGAGTGTGCGACTGTGTTCACCGGATGTACTACTCACCGTAGGGTGGGGTGGTTGCAATATCTCTATAGGGTCCGGAGCAAAAATGGCTCCAAGCAGGAGAGAATGGAGGGAGAGGCGAGGCAAGCGGGGATCACTGTGCGAGAGCAGGGAGAGAAGGGAGGAGAGGGGGTCCAGCTCTGGTGAATCACGAGTCCGGAAAGAGACTGAGGAAGGGAACTATGGGCTGCGATCAGATTACATGATGGTGACGGTGAGATATCGGAGATTGCCCCGGAGTAGGAGCAGGCTGCAAGAATCGCTGTAGGATCTCATGGCATATGGAAACATGAAGAAGGAGCGAGATAAAAGTCGCAGGTGTGAAGATACTTGAGTCAGCTGAAACTTCACCTGCAGGTTTGAGGTGCATGTCTGTTTCACATCGGAGGTTGCATCGTTCAAAGGAGATGAACTTGGGCCTGGTTGGAGGATACGACGATGAGATCGTCGGGAATGCCAGTAGCCTCGGAGTATCGAAATCATCCCTGCATTATGCAAAGTCCAGGTGTGCTTGCAGTGATAGTCCCGGAAGCCCTTGCCTGAGTCGTGCCTCAGAATCCTTCTTCGCAAGAGCAATCTCCAGCATCTTGTTCTCAACGAGATGCAAGCTTTCGCTTCTGAACCTTTGTTGGACCTAGCAGTGAGTTTGATTTTCTATGGCCTATCAAGGAGTTGTGAGGAAGGCTGCAGGTCTCAGCTATCGAAGATGTTCCGATAGACCTTACTGGGACTGATCAAGATTTCGAGATCCAAGCAAACATGGCAGGTATGAGGGGAGATTTCTCTGACCACTGAACTTACTTGATCTGTAGTGGCCAAGAGCATTTCTGTCGTGATTTCGGTCTGATGTCGGAGGAGACAGGTGTCTCGTGACTTCCTTGGCAGACTCTGCTAGAATCCATCAGAAAGCAAAACAGTTCGACCTGGAATAGTCAAGGCAGCAGCTCGACGTGGTAAGGCCATGCCCGCCTGATGGCAGTCTGATGTCTGCAGCAGCAGCTCCTCTTCCTCCTCGCATCCCAGTCTTTCGGACAACCACCACAAGCTTTGTCCTTTAGGGCTCCAAAGCTTCGGACCGGATCCTTCGCCCAAGGTGCTTCCCATCCTGCAGGCGACATGTCCTATCTGCAACCTCAAGGTGTCCGGGGACATCTTCAAGGTCTTGTGCCCTACCAATTTCTCACGCTACTCACCCGTCGCTCGCAGGGGAAGGGCATGCAGCATGCTCCCAAATGCCCGATCCGACACTCAGAGCGGAGGTTCACAGAGCCCAGCCTCCACCTCGACTGCTCCGAGAGCATCCGCCCCTCCGTGAGCGTTGTTGACCTCGTCCTTCCTCCTCGTGACGCTTCTGTAGGAGGTGAAGGGACCCAAGAGCACGACGAGCAGGTCGCGCAAGTACGTGCACATCGAAGGCCTTCAAGACACAGAGGCAGACACCCCGCAGCCGTCTGAACGCAAGTCTCTTGATGACGGAGTACAGATGTCGACCTGGTCCATCTGTCACAAACCGCGATAGCTCTTCTCATTTGCCTGCAGGCATCTGATCGACAGCTTCATCAACGAGGATGCACATCCGCATGGACAGGTGCGAAGACCCTCAGACCGTCTCTGCCAACTTCAAACTTCCTCCCCTCTCCATTCGCCAAGGAAGGCAAGTAGTCCTCCATCCTGGATCATTCTGACCTGGCATGCAGCCCAAGGAGTCGCGTCAACTTCGATGTCCTCGAGACATCGGGCAGCACAAGACACTGAGAGACGTCGACGCGCAAGATGTAAGCGAGGACGAGAGAGTGCGAGGGGAGAGGTCGAATCCCCACCTACCCTGGTCTATGCTGAAGCTCGTGGGTTCATATGAATGTATATAGCGATATGATGATCGAATATGAATGTAAATCAATGTGAGCAATACCAGATCGTTTCGTCGCGCTATAGCTTGTAGTTTCTGCCTCCTTTGAGTCACCCTCCCCCTCTCCCTGCAGAACGTCACCTGTCGAGAGGTCAACCGGGAGGCCAACGCATCTGGCGTCCTGCTAGGAGGTGCATGTGAAGGTGAAACACGCTCTGTTGAGCTTCAGAGCCGTCGTTGATCACCAGCCGATAGCCTCGCAGGTTTTGCTCCTTCGCGATCCTCGCAGCTTCACAAGGGTCAAGAGAAGCACGAGAAGCGGGAAGGCACCTGTCAAGAACATCTTCCCAAGTAGCTCCTGATGATCAGCTGTGGCATATCGAAGTTGTCTGATGATGAGTCACGGCAGGTCAACGAAGGAGCACAACGTACGTGAGCCCATCTCTCCTCTTCGGGATAATCAAGAGATGAACAGGAGCTTGAGGATGGATATCCTTGAACACCAACACATGCTGATGTCGACAGCATCACATCGAGCACAGGGAGCAGCTGCTGCAGACTTCATCTTCCATGACGATCTCCGAAGGGATCTGTCGTTGAATGATGCGATCGAAGATGGTTGGAGCATCTTGATCTCTGTCGACACTTTCAGCGTTGCCTTGCTGGATCTCGCGAGACCTCAGGCCTGCATGGAGGATGCTCTTCCACCTCTCGTTCGCTTCCCACACTGCAAGGCCCTCCTTGATCTCCTTCAAGACCGTCTGAAACGACTGATCTGAATGCTGAAGGCACCGGGATCAGACTCGGGTTGAGCCCGTCAGGACTTGGATCTGGCGACCTTGATCCAATGGTACCACCGCAGCAGCTTCTTGCCCAGCACGACCTCAGCATCCCTGACGAAACTTCATCCAACCATCCTCTCTTCCCCTCCTCTCGGTCGTCTCACCAGGTCTCTCCGTCCAGGAACTTGGGCAGCATGTGCTCGATGAAGATGACAGTTGGAAAGATCTTTAACGGCTCAGCCTCTGACGACGAGAAGAGAAGGGGCTCACCGTTGCATCGGCAAGAGACAGCTCCTTGCCCGTCAGGTAGGGCCCCTCCTCGTCTATGTGCTCCTGGAGGTACCCAATCTGCTCCTCGGTCACTCATCCACCTGCAACTTCCTCCACGTGCCTGCTCTCTCAGCTCTGCCAGCGCTGCCGCTCGGCTGGAGAATCTTCCGAAGGGAGGTTCGGCTTTGTACATGCACCCCTGGGCGACATCAGCAGGCGCTCCGGCACTTCTGCGCCTACTTGGATTGTCGTGATGTACATGTCGTGCAAGCGACACAGGAGATCGCTCTTCATCCTCGCCTGCAGCAGCCCAGGCGTCAATCAACCGCGGAGGGCGTGAGTGAGGACCTCAAGGGTAGAAGGCAGGAAGGAAGGGCTCTTTGCAGAGAAGCGATCCAAGAGGTATCTATGCGACTTCCGTCAAAGCTGTATCCCTATCGATCCCTCGCTACCTCGCAATCGTGTCGCTCTCAGGGATGTTGCCGTGCTCCGTTACCTGACCCTATCAGCCCCCAGCTGCCATGTCATCGTTTACCAGCAGCGGCATCTTTCCCTGGGGATTCAGCGCGAGGTACTGCTCGGACTTGAGTCCTCCTCTGTGCCACGACTGAGACAGGCACTGGAGCAACAGCATGGAGACTCACAAGTCTGAGGGCGGCTTGATGAGGATGTCGCTGTCAAGAGAAAGCCCTTTCTTGTATACGATGATCCGGCACCTCGCTCCATTGTTTGACACCTACCAACGTCCATGAGCGCAGCGGGCAGAGGAGCGATGAGCTTACGGGCATGTCGTAGAGGATCGGAGTCATGTCGGCACACTAGTATGATTTCAATCAGCACAAGCCCAGCACAAGCCCAGCACAAGCCGTGGCAAGCTACCTTGGCAGTAAGTGGAGACGATGCGCGAGTGTCTGACAGGAACTTAGCAAGGGAGCTTGAGATTTGCAAACAACCTGTAGAGACGAGAGAGAGAATCAAGCTAGCGAGGGCGAGCCTGTACTGGCAAGTGAGGAGATGATAGAGGCGAGCAAGCTCAGTCTCTCGGATGCAACAAACTTTCAGTATTTGTTTCATTCCTACCATGTCATCTTGTCTCAAGCTTACCCACCATCTACTCCAAATGACTGCACTTAGCTCCATTCTTGCCTGCAACTGCACTCGCTGATGCCCCTGCGACTTTCTTTCTCGCTGCTCCTCCTTGCACTCGCTTTCTCGACATTGTTGACCTCATCATCGTCGGATTTGAAATTGAAGGAGGTGGGGTGAATTTTGTTGTACCGGTGGGGTATGAAAAGCACTGGTACTGTTTCAAGGATATAGGTAGGGGTATTTGACTACTGGGTCAATTTATACAAAAATCAACAGCAAGGATAGGGTACATAAAATTAATGGAGGGTACTTGAACATAAGACGAGGGCTGTGACCAAACAGTTAGCTCACGAGGAGGGTGGGTGGACGAACAGATTGGGGTGGGGGTGAGGGTACTGATCTCGGATTCGATTTTATGGCGGGAGTTCAATGCGGAAGGCGCAGAAGGCTGGAGGATGGATAAAAGAGGAGGAGGAGGAGGAGAATGAGGAGAAGAAAGGGCGATAGAAGTAACAAAGGGATCGCAACCACGAGGAGCTTGTCTCTGTTGATCTGCTAGCATACTCTTCGAGGAATCACGACACATGATTCAAGTTGAATGTTCTGAATAATCGTTCTAAGAGGTCTCGTCCAGGTCTGTTGTGCGATGAGCGTCAAGGAAATCGAGTCTCTTCGGTTGCTCGTCAAAGATGCAGCAGCTAAAAATCTTCTACCGGTTTGTTTACCTGATTCAACTCGTAGAGCTGATGCCGACGCTGCAGACTGCAGCTTTTTTCTGTGAGAAAATCATCTGCTTGCCTGGGAAAACAGATGAGGTACCTTGTCCTCCTCCTCCCTCTTTCCACCATTTCTCATCGTACCTCAGGATCACTACAACCTGGCTCGCCTCTACTTTCAACAGAAGCAGTTCAAGCGAGCGCTAGTCACACTTCAGAAGGTGATGCCACGCCTCGGACTCGTCCAGTCTGACCGTGCTTCAGGCTTCCTCAAATGATTCTCCAAACTTTCGGTTGTTGGCTGGACAGTGTCTGGCAGAAAGCAAGGAGTATGAGCAGGTTGGCAGTCAAGAGTGGTGGTCCGATCATGAGGCTTCTTGCAGTGCTTGAGCGTGTTGGGAGAAGAGGACGATACTGCTAGCGCCAGTGACAGTGAGATTTCGCCGTCCCTGGGCGTACGCTGACTCTCTACTAGTGATGGATCAGAATGACGGAATTGAAGTCTCGGCTGCTATGAATCTTCTACGTGGCAAGGTGCGCTGTGAAGTTGCTTGAGCTTGCAGCTAATTTGAGAATTTAGGTTTACGATGCTCAACAGAACAGAGTGAAGGCAGCGTTCTGGTAGTTTTGAGTATGCTGTGACCTTGAAAATGATGTAGATCAGGTACAAGAAGAGCCTTCAACGAGATTACAGGTCGATCTCGTGCTCGAATCTGTTGTCTGATGACGTTTTCTGCGCTCAGATGCTACGAGGCCTTCGAGAAGTTGATAGAGAGCCACATGTTGTCATCTCAAGAGCAAGCCGGTTGTCACTGTGAACAGATTCAAAGACGATAACACGAAAGCAGATCTTTTGAATACCCTCCACTTCAAAGACAGCGAAGTTTGGCTGCAGGTTGACCAGGTTTGGTACTGCTTGTCTGATCCATTTCCTTATACAGGCGATGTACAAGAGCAGGATGGAAAAATATGACTTGTCAGTCGACAAACCGTTGCAGCTTGAAGGTAAAGGCGGAGGAGGGCCGGCAGGGGGAGAAAGACTATCTGAAAACTGAAGTTCCCACCCCAGACTGCGGGGCAGATGTCAAGCAAAGTGCCTGCTCCATCTTTGACTCTAGCATAGACTCGATGACAATCGTAGCCGAGTTCTATTACTATCACAACGATTTCAGACAGGTCCTCCTCCCCTCTTCTTGACGGGTGCTGACCATTGGCAGTGTTACAACCAAACCAAGAAAATCCTACAGATCGACCCCTTCGCTAACTGCTGTCTGGCTTACCATCTTTCTTCTCTAGTGGAGTTGAAGTTGGTCAGGTGCAGGCCTGGCTCTTGTCTCGGTGTCGCTCAAACTTTCTCCAGGGAGTTGTTCATCGATGCGCATCGACTCGTGGAAACGTTTCCTGAATCGGCGGAGGCACCATTGACTTGAACGAGGGAAAGAGGGTCACAGTTGCACAGGCGTGGTATGCTGTGGGCTGCTACTACTTCTTGACAAAGAAGTTCGACCAAGCAAGGTAGAGTGAGTCATGAAGGCAGCGAGATCTCACGAGCCTGCCAGGCGATTCTTTCAGAAGTCAACATCGATGAACAACTACTTCGCTCCTGCTTGGATGGGTGAGTCTTTCCTCTTCCCCGTCACTACTCAAGCTGCAGTAAAGGCTACGGACACACTTTCTCTGCTCAGGACGAGAGCGATCCTGCCTTAGCGGCATATCGCACGGCATCGCGGTAAGTGGGCCGGGGGATGTGAAGGAGCTTGACAAGAGGAGGAAGATTCTTCAGCGGCAGTCATCTCCCCCCCCTGTGTATTGGCATGGAGTACGCCAAGTCTGGAAACCTTCAGGTGAGTCACTGCATGAGTGGAGGCGAATGACGGGAGAGCAGGTGGCGGATCAATTCTTCTCGCACGCCTTGAGGTAGGCGGTACGCGTGTCTCTCCTGGTCCCTTGACGTTTGCAGCATATGCTCGGTGGACCCGCTAGTGTACAATGAAGTTGGTGTCCTCCGTTACTACCAAGGCTGCTACGATCAGGTGCCTCTCCTCCTCCTCTCGCGCTCCTCCTCGTCACTCCTTCTCAGGCGGCAAAGGCATTCGAGAAGGTCTTGGAGCTGTGCCAGGACGACGAGTCTAGCGTATGGGAAGCAACCTTCTTCAATCTTGGGTAGAGCAACCTATCTGACAAGAATAGCGCTGATCTTGCTGGCAGGCATTGCTATCGCAAGATGAACAGCTTCGACAACGCTCTGGCCATGTACCACAAGTCTCTACGATGCTCTCCTCGCACAGCCAGCACATACACGGCGATCGGCTTTACGCATCACCTGAAGCGGGAGTTTGATACCGCAATAACTTTCTACCATAAGGTTCTACGCTCCTTGTCCTTGTCCTACCTCTATCTTCCCTTCATCTCTTAGTGCTCTTCCGCTCTTTCCTATCTCTCTCTCTATCCTCTTCCTTCATGTTGACCTCCTCTAAGGCACTCGGGATCTCTGCGGACGATGCTCTCACTACGGAGATGCTGGAGAGAGCTTTAAGAGAAGCGAGTTACTTTGGCTCTGTCACTCCCTCCTTTTAAGCGCATGAACTTGCTGTCATCTTCTTCTTTCCTTTTTAGTGTCTTGCGGTCTTGAGCTCCTGAACATCGAGAAACATCCAGCAAGTTTCGTCTTGTCCTGACGTGATTTCTGTCGTGAGAGGTCAGGAGCAGGCAGGGAAATCGCAGCACTTTCCGCGTACCCTGACTCTCTCATTCTTGTTTTGCAGCGCATGTTTTGTCGTACTGATTTGCAGCGCTGCTTCCCCTCCCAGCGCGTCCACAAAGTGGAGCATGTTGACCCTGAAGGAGGTCAGAGCAGCCAGCTTCTTGACAGCAGTCGCCTTGCTGCTCACCTGTCGCTGCCATCGCTGAACTCTCTAGACAGAATTCGTTTCTCGTCAGGGGTGAGCCCGACGTGCATGACGTCCAACACTTTGAGAAAATCATAGTTGACGATCATGCCATCCCTGGCAACCCCCGTCACATCTTCTTCGCTCCCTCTCGCGTGCTCACTTGAGATGGTCAAAACTGCGCAAGATGGAGGCGAAGGTGTCGTAGTCTTGTGAAGCAAGTCTCAAGACTTTGCTGATCGCATGCTTGAAGATCTCATGTCTGACATCCATGGTCAACGCTCTCCAGTCCTTGAAGAAAGCGACATGCCGGCTCATCTGCTTGTCTTGGTAGAAGCTTGACTGCATGAAGATCCCGTCGTGCTCGATCATCGCCACATCGTCCGTCCGCTCCTTCACCTGCAGCCCTTCAGCCCTCGCGTCTCTGTCAATCTCCCAACCCTCTCGGAGTTCCATCGCAGCGCTGCTGACGTCGGTGCGCTGTATGTCGTTGGGGGATAAAAAATTTCCCGATGCTTTTCAGCTTTGCTTGAGAACTTGCTTGGAGCACTGCTGTGCTTGCTAGAGCTGCTGACTGCTCCTGAAGAAGCTCTAGAGAACAACAGGTCGAGCTCGTTGTCATAATCTAACATCTCTCTTGCTTGCTCCTCTGGCATCACCTCCATCCCATCCATCTGCCAGCCCTTCATCAGTCGGCGCTTGCACGTTGCCTTGACTCACAGATAAGACCCAGAGAGGCAGCTGGCGAGATGTCGAGAGCATCGCTACAACCCCTGCGAGCCTCGCCGGGAAGAAACTGGTCAACTCTGACTCCTGATTGCTGCCGACCTCGAATTTAACCCCTGGAAAAACACTTCGAGCGACAGTTAGACACTGAGGCAGCTTTAAGGGAGGAGAGAAACAAAGAAGGAGCAGAAGTTGAAGAGGGAGAATTTAAGGAGGAGGAGCAGAGAAGCAGGAGGAGAGGAGCAGAGGAGAGAAGGAGAGAAGCAGGAGGAAAGGAGGAGCAGAGAAGGAGCAGAGAAGGAGCAGAGAAGGAGCAGAGGAGCAGAGGAGAGGAGGAGAAGAGGAGGAGAGGAGGAGAAGCAGGAGGAAAGGAGGAGAGGAGGAGAGGATGAGACGATGAGAGGAGGAGAGGAGAGGAGGAGGAGGAGAGGAGAAGCAGAGAAGGAGGAGAGGAGGAGAGGAGGAGAGGAGGAGAGGAGGAGAGGAGGAGAGGAGAAGAGGAGCAGAGGAGGAGAGGAGGAGAGGAGGAGAGGAGGAGAGGAGGAGAAGCAGAGAAGGAGGAGAGGAGGAGAGGAGGAGAGGAGGAGAGAAGGAGGAGAGGAGGAGAGGAGGAGAGGAGGAGAGAAGGAGGAGAGGAGGAGAGGAGGAGAAGCAGAGAAGGAGGAGAGGAGGAGAGGAGGAGAGGAGGAGAGGAGGAGAGGAGGAGAGGAGACAAGGGGGAAAGGGTGTCAGGTAGGAGGACCTAATTGTGTTTTAGTCAATTAAGCGAACCCGCCTCAGGTGATGTTTCCATGTCCCGGAATGAGGAATCAGCTCAACACACGTAACACGATGGCGATGCTGGTGGTGGCGTGCAGCTTCATGCTGTACTCGACCTCTACTCCCTCCTCCTCTGCTGCTGCCTTCTCTTCCTCCTCCTCCTCCTCCTCGCCCTATCGCTCCTTGCATGTAGCGTCGACGCTCGCGAGGGAGATGAGAAACCCTGCATGGAGGCTTGTTTGCCGCTTGCCAGCTTCAATGCCGCTGAGAGGAGGAAGGAGAGAAGAAACGCCAGGGAAGCAGACGCGCAAGGCTTCTAAACGACGAGCACCAGCAGACGCAGACCAGGAGGCTCCAGACCAAGGAGAGAAAGATTGCTCGCGAGATGCGTCCGCTGAGCAACCGCATGAAATCCATTCGAAGACCAAGAAGAAAAGAGGAAAAGAAGATCATGCCAGCACTTCCAACTCGACCTCAACTATCGTTGACGGAGATGAAATCTTGAAGAGACTGCAATCTCTCGAGAAAAAGAAGAAAGAAGCAATCTCTCTCGAAGATTTCGACAGTGCGTCAAAGCTCAAGGCAGAGATCAAGGACTTGGAGGCGAAGCTCAAGTCGATAGGAAAGGCAGACATATTGTCTGGTGAGTCGACAAGTCGATGAAGTTCCAATCGATGAAGTGATTTCCAGCTGAGCCTCGTGACATGAGCAATTCCTCAATCAGAAACTTCAGGATATCAGAGAAGACAATCAAAGCCTTGTCGGAACAAGGAATCCAGACATTGTTTCCCATCCAAGTGATGCCAGAAAACCTCTTACATTGTCTTTTCTTGTTCTTCTTTACGTTGTATTCTCTTGTTCATTCCTGGTATGCGCAGGTTGCGACTTTTGATATCATCTATGAGGGGTATGACTTGATCGCCCGAGCTCGCACAGGCACCGGGAAGACTCTTGGTGAGGATCCGGTGGAGAGGAAGAGAACATAACCACTTGACGCAGCTTTTGTCTTGCCCGTGCACGAGAAGTTGATGAGGAGCAGGTGCATGCGTAGCGTCACTTGGTTGTACTAAAAGGATTCAGGGGTCAAATCAACTCGCGTGGAAGAGCACCAGAGGCGCTGGTGATGGTTCCCACTCGTGAGCTGTGTCTACAAGTAAGTTGACAAGCTTCGAGCATGTTCAAGCATCTCACCGCTGCTCAGGTCACGCGTGTGTGGAAGAGTCTTGGTGGAAGTCTCGAGGTGGAGAAGGAGGAGAACCAGCATGTCTGACATTTGCGGCTCAAAGATTCAAAGCGTGTATGGAGGGGCTCCGATCCGACAACAACAGATCGCACTGAGTGACGGCATTGACGTTGTGATTGGTACTCCCGGAAGGTCAACCCCTCTCCTTTCCAAGCATCTCCTCGAATCCCAATCATCTTCTTCTCCCCCCACCCAAGCTCCTGACCGTCATTCCTTGCGCTCTGCATCGCTCGTAAGGTTGATGGGTTAGGATCTTGGACTTGAAGTCGAGAGGATCTCTGAGACTGGATCGAATCAAGTTTCTGGTGAGCCTTTCTCAAAAACTCGACTTGCATGACTTGCAGTAGGTGCTCGATGAGGCGGATCAGATGCTGGAGATTGGGTTCAAAGATGACATGGAAGAGATTATCCGATCGGTAAGGGTTGGAGGCTGTGGAAGCACGTGTTAAAACGAGGACGGAGGAAGAGAGGGAGGGAGGGAGGAGCAAGTCACGCCAAAGAGAAGGAGCGCCATGTTCGCGTGCTGAACTTCAGTCAGGTCTGCGGAGACGCTCAAGCGTCCAATCTCGATCATCAGACTCTGTTGTTCTCTGCGACTGTCCCCAGCTGGGTTCAGGTGCTGTCTCCTCCCGCCTCTTTGACTCTCACCCAACAGCAGGAGATCGCTCGGAACTACCTGAGAGCCGACCGAAGGAAGGACGTCGATCTTGTGAGAAGAAGAGGGCGACGAGAACGTAAGTGACGCTGTACAGGTCAAGCATGAGACACTCAAGACAGCGCCTAAGATCAAGTGAGCAAGATGAGTTCTTGTTCCTCCTCGTCATCTTCTTCTCGCTCTTGTCAGACACCTTTGCATCGCTTGCGGTGTTTCTGCTCGTCGGTCCACGATCGGTATGAGGGATGGTGGAATGAGTGGAGGGTGACGAGAGGTAGGGGCGATCATAAACATTTACGCGGGGAGACACGGCAAGACGATCGTCTTCACGGAGACGAAGGAAAAGTAAAAGGTTGGGGGGGTGAGACGAGTGACGGCGAGTCTTTCAGAAGGAAGCAGACGAGCTGTCTCGAGACAACTGCATCAAGGTGAGAGGCTTTTCTCCCTCATGTTCGTCTCAAATGATCATCCCCCTCCCCCCCCTGCGATCAGGTTGCTTGCGGAGTTCTTCATGGAGACATTCCACAAAATTTACGAGAAGAAACCTTCAAAGGCTTTCGAGAAGGAGACCTCCAGGTGTACTCGATGTCTCCCATTCGCTTGCCTCTCCTTTCAACCCCTTGATTTCTCCTCTCCTTTTGGTTCAAGCTTTAATCGCTCGTGCACGTTAGTGTCTAGTGGCCACCAACGTCGCTGCGCGAGGGCTGGATATTCCTGAGGTGCGGGAAGAGGGACGAGTGGAGGCGGTAGGTGCAGGTTAAGCAAGAGCAGGTTGACCTCGTTGTCATGTGCCATCCACCCGAGAGCTCCGAGCTCTACGTCCACCGGTGAATCATGAGCGTTTCGAGAGCTTCCTGACCTAGTCGCAGGTCCGGACGAACTGGGCGAGCAGGGAAGAACGGAACGGTAAGGAGTATCAGGAGAAGCTGCCTTCCTTCTCTTCCTCTTCCGCTCTCCCTGATATGCTTGTTGCTAGTGCGTCATGTTCTACTCTCCTAGAGAAGCTCCAGACCTTTCGAGGATCGAGCACAAGACAGGTAGCTGGAGGAGGAGCTTCCGATCCTGACGGGCTTCCTTGAGGTGTCAAATTTCAAAGGATAGGAGCACCGCAGCCTCGAGATATCGCTCTTGTAGGCCCCAGCCTCTTGTTCCCAACCTCATGCTGCTGCCAAGGCCGCGTGTGAGGACGCGTTCATCGCCATGGAAAAGGTTCAGCCTGAAAGCATCCAGCTGTTCTCTACCTTGGTAAGCGCTCGCGTCTCTTTTTCTCCATGTTGTCACTAGAAAGGCAAAGACCTCGACGGCAGCGGACCGTTTAAACTGCAGTCTTCAAGACTGTCTCGCAAGGGCCATTGCAGTGTTGTCAGGCTTCGAGAAGGTGGGGCCAACAGATTCTACAACTCGCATATGCTTCATCGAGATGCTTTCTCTCTCCCGTCCCTCGCTCTCCGTTCCCTCATCTCTTATTCTTATCTCAGCCTCCATCGGCTCGAAGCATGTTAACTTCCTTGGAGGGTTTCAAGACTTTCTTGTTGAAATCTTCAGGGTAATCCATGTCCCCCCCCCTTCCCCTTCCCTCCTGCTTTCCCTCCGCCTTCTCTCTCCCTCCTTCTGCCTTTCGTTCTGCCTGCGCTTCTCCTGCCTTGGCTCTCCACCTCCTTGTTCTGCTCTCACTCTTTGACTTGGTTTTCAGCATCTCCATGGTTCCAGACGTCTTTCGGTGCATTCGAAGGGTCATGGGAGGAGAGCCGAAGGTGCTGTGATCTATCTCGTGCCCAGCTGACACAGGAACAATCAGGCAGCAGACTCAGTTCGGAGCATCAGGTTTCTCAAGGACAAGGTAAGCAATCTTGACCACGAAATTGCCACCTCACTGTAAATCAGTCAGGAGCAGCTTTCGACGTTCCTGCTGAATTTGCGGCTCTCTTTGACGATGTGGCCAAGTCGTTCGAAGGAAAACTAGTGGCCCCACGCATCGAGTCTGTTCAAGTCCTTCCCGACCTTCTGCCCGAGAGCGCCATGGCTTCGAGGTTCTAGCAAGAGGTGGTGGTGTTTGTCTCCTGACAGGTAAATGGCAGGGGTTCGTCGTCCTTCTCTCGGCCTTCATGGCATTCTTCGCACTTTCCTCGCAGAGGCTACGGAGGTGGCAGAGGCTATGGCAGGGGAGGGGGGGGACCATGGGGGAGGCGAAACTACGATCGGCGATAACCATCACAGGAACCTTTCTCTTTTGCCCCTACCCCCTTTTAAAACCTCAAGTACCCCACAGATTATCTATCCTTCACTACCCCCACCTACCTTCTGCTCTCAAGTGCTCCCCCACCCCCCTCAATCCTCACATCCCTACTACGACCACCCCAGGGTCCTTTTTAGACTTTCCAAAGGGAAATGGTGGGGTGATGATTCGAACGTGGTAAGAAAAAGGGTCAGAAGGGTGGGGTGGTGGGGGAGTGGCTTCGAGGGTGAAGTGTGGTTTGAGTGTTGTGGTTCAGCTGGGTGGGTGGGGGTCATGGGCGATTGGGTCATGGGTGGTTTTTGAACAAGGATATTCCACAAAAGGTGGGGTTATACGTGGTAAAGTTTAGGGTAGGGGTGTTTCATTGATGGGTGAATTATTCGGAGATGGGGTGTACCAACATTCACAGGCATAAAAGGGGGTGGGGGGTAGGGTGAGGTATGGAGCTGCGGAGGATGGCGGCATGATGCGGTCAGGTGGGTGCGAGGAGGAAAGGAAGGCGGAGGGGGAAGGGGAGGAAAAGAGAAATGGAGGGCGAATAGATGAGAGAAAAGCAGGGATGGGGAGGAGAGAGGAGGAGATGGTGTTGATGGCGGAGAAGAGAAATGAAGAACAGGAGGAGAAAAGATGAGAGGGTAGAAGTGGTTGAGGTTATCAAACGATGAAGATGATTATCTCTTAAATGTTGCTTGTCGTGTTCCGTTGCCTGTCGAAGATATTCTGCTTGAAAATTCTCTCTTGAAGCAGTCCATTACTCAGTATTCTGTCATCCCAGCGGTTGCCAGGTCCATGTCAAAAAAGAGAAGCGGTGGGTCAGAGCAGTCGTTCTGCTCTCTTTGATGGCCGATCTTGCGTCTGGTCGTGACCTGGTTTTATTTCCTGCTGAGACGATGTTGTGCTTTTCTTAGATGAAGACGTTTGTCGTGATCTTGTGCTTTTCTTAGATGAAGACGTTTGTCGTGTCTGTTTCATCAACATTGTTTATTCACATACCGTCGTATGGTAGTATAGACGAATCCATTCCTCGCTAAAATACTACCGGGTTAGATATACCAAGAATACAAGCAGGGAGAAGTTTGGATCGTATGTGATGATGTTTCATAGCAGCCAGATGTGAAGGATAGATGCAGGTAGCAGGAAATGTATGTATGTGACCATATACAGGCGCACTGATTTTGCGCACTGGAAATTGTTTTGTAAATTTTGATGAGAACAAAGGTTATTTTGCTGTAGAAAGATCAATCATAAGGTTGTTTTGCTGTAGAAAGATCAATCATAAGGTTGTTTTGCTGTAGAAAGATCAATCATTTCAGTAAGAACGTCACGAGGACTACAGTAGTGGCTGGGGAGGAGGGCAGTGTATACCGGAGACCATGTTGGGCCTTGAGCTTTGTTCAAATTCTATCAATCTGATTTCACCAACGAAATACATGCCTACTTCCCAAAGCATTGATACTCAAATGCTTGATAACGGTCAGCTTTCAGTTTTGTCAGACAAGACTACCTCTGTGTGATTTTGTTTGGCTTGAGTTTCCAGTAAGGTTTGAAAGATGGTTTTAATTCTGCAAAGAATTTTGATTTCTTGACAGGCAGACCTGATCAGCTTTGATCTTGCTGCTGTCTTGATCGGCTCTGCAACTCAGTTGCGATGAGCGAGACTCACATGTCTGTTCAAGCCTCAGCTGAAGGCGCGAGCGATGCTTCCGTCCCCTACCTTCAGGCAACCCTCCTGTTGTACCGGAATGGTTGATTTGACCATTTCCAAAGATGGGAAAGAAGGAAGTGATAATGACAAAGGAACAAGCCAAGCTCGCCAAGGTGCAGAAAGGATATGTTCTCGAGCCTGTCTTGGGGCACATGTCGCAAGAGGAGAAACTACCCGAAAAGCGTGACCGCAAGAAGATTCAGCTGTTCGGTTGGAGGCACTCGCTCTCAATTGTTTGATATTGAAGTTGCACCTCAGGCTACGATCCTCCTGCAGATTCGCAAACGAAGTCTCACGCTCATCACAGAACCAAAGTGAAGCATGCTCATGCTTCTGGAAACGGATCGCCCGCTCCTCTAGCTGCCAGCCAGCCATCGTCGACCTCGACAAACCCTGTGCCTTCAAGTGCTTCTAACTATTGGTCTGAAAGGAAAAAAGTGCTGCAGGTAAATCCTTTATGCAAGAAGACTCATGGATAACAGTCGACTTGTAATCGCAGGATCGCCTTCGTAAAATCAATGCACAACTGCACAAGATTGAAGCAGCGAATGCCCAAGTGTCGCAAATCACTTATGAGGCTGTATCAAGTAGCTGGAATGCTTTAGACTCCGTCAAGACAAGAAGGTTGCCTTTTGCCTTCTCTTATCACATCGAGTCAATACCTTTGAATTTCGAAAGTGATCCTTTTGTAGGGATAGCACACCGCTTTGGGATACACCAGCAAATTCAGGAAAGCGAAAACAACCTGACTCTGGCTCAAGACAACCGGAGGGGAAACGTGCGAAAGGAGCTGAAGAAAGGTTCTGTTGGTGTGATCATACGGCTGACTCGTGAGATTACTTTGCAGAGAATCAAAAACAAAGAGAAAGAGCGGCAAGAGTTGGGAGGATGCCTGTAAGAAGGTGCGATTGCAAGGAAAAGTGTCTGGTGGGTGATGACTCCCTTGTAGGTCGTCAAGAGTCTGATTGACAACCCAATATGCGAAGCCTACTTCAATGTGCCAGTTGATCCCGTTGCTCTCAGTGAGTCTTTCATCTAGGCTCGCCTCACCTCTCTTGGTGAATTCCTCACCTTGACCCCAACAGATATCCCAACGTACCTAGACGTCATCAAGAATCCGATGGATTTAGGGACCGTTCTGAGCAAACTGGAAAACGGATTCTATGAACGAAAAGAGCAGTGGGTGGCTGACGTCAAGCTTGTGTGGGAGAACGCGATGGTTTTCAATCCCCCGGGCAACGACGTGCACGAGTGCGCAAGGCACATGGCGAGCTACTTCGAAAATGCGCTCCTGCCGTCTTGCAAGCGTTCGTCAGTCGCAGCTGTCAGCAGCGCACAATCAGCGGCATCTGCTTCCAGCCCAGCAGCATCAGGGCCAGGAGGCGATCGTAAGATCTTGGAGATGCAACGAAAAGTAGAAATGCTGCAGAGGGAAGTAACAAGTATACGCGAAGCGAAGGTGGGCTCTTCGATGTGCTTGCATTCACATTTGATGCTGCGCCAGAACTCAAAGCAGGGAGGAGGATCCGCGAAGAAGAAAGCGCCAGTCTCGGCGAACAAGGCTATGACATTCGACGAAAAACGAGATTTGAGCATGAACATACAGAAACTCAGCGGCGAGCAGACAGACCAGGTAGCTTTCTGTTCCGCCAGGGGATTTGATTGAGCCTGACGCATTTCGTAGATCATCGCGATCATTCGGAAACGGCAAGCGACGGTGTTGGCGGACGATGAAGAGATCGAGATCGACATCGACTCGTTGGACAACCTGACGCTCCGTGAGCTGCAAAGATTTGTGGAAGATTGTCTATTCAAGGTTTCATTTCCTCTGTTGCTCGCCTCCTTATGCCTTGTTCCAGTCCCGACACAGACCTGCTGCTGCTGCTGCTGCTGTGGGAAGTTCAAAATCATCTGCTCTTAGTTCAGCCATCAAGGTAATAGAATCAGCCCGTGCAAATGTGACGATGTCCTACAGGCCAATGAAACCAGCAGCAGCGACAGCAGCGACAGCAGCGACAGTGACAGCAGCAGCAGCGAGAGCGAGAGTGACATGAAGTGATGCTCGCTTGTTACGAGAGACCCGCTCACTTGCACTCCAGGAAAAGTGTCGCGGTCACTCCCAAACCTCCTCCGAAGCCTCAGCCAGTGGAGGCCAAGAGAGTTGAAGTGAACACCAAGACTGAGGTAGGACCCTGTGATTAAGCATCTGCATTTTACCCTATCGTCTTGGGTAGACTAAGGAGCAGCCAAACATAGCGGCGCCTGGAGGCAGCGTGTCGGCGACTGGAGGCAGCATGGCGGCGACTGGAGGCAGCGTGTCGGGGAATGGCGGGCAGGAGGAGGAGAGCAGGCAGAGGTCACCAGAGGTTGTCAAGGTGAAGTTGATGCGCCTGAGATTGCCGCTTGTCCTCACTGCCTGCTAGGAACCGGCTGAGAAGCCTCAGATCCTCCCGACAGGAATCGAGAAGAAGCCCGTGCAGGTGAGCTGCAGCTCGAAACTCGATGAGTGTGACCAGCCGCAGATTGCAAACACAAGCGCGTGGGGAGCTTCTTTGCTGGGAGAGGACGAGGAGAACAACGAGACGGCGAACAATGAGACAGGCTTCTCGCAGTCCTGGTCTCAAATCCAAGTCGTTGGCTGTTGTCTTACAAGTGAAGACTCTGACTTGACTGACAGACCAAAGATCAACTGAACAAGCAACGCGAAGAAGAAAAGAAGCGGGAAGAAGAGAGAGAGCGACTCCGAAAAGAGGAAGAGAAGCGCAAGGCGTTAGAAGAAGAGCAGGAGCAGGAACGACTCAGGCAGCAGAAGCTCCTCGAAGAACAGCAGGAGGCTGAGCGTCAGGCAGAGGAACGAAGGAAGCAACAGGAGGTCATTATTGAGCAGATGATGAAGAAAAGAGAGAACTGACTACGAAATCGCAGGCTCTCCGAGAAGAGGAGGCAGCGAGACGAGAGCAGCTGGGTCAGACGGTCAACATGGATCAGACGCAGATGCTGGCGAAGGGCATAGCGAGCGGGAAATACTTGTCAGGGCTGCAGAACATCGAGCAGCTGAACATTGCGCACTTGAGGAAGGGAGAGGAGAGCGACTCGGAGGACTCGTCGTCGTCTGACTCTGAGTGAAGGAGAGGGAGGGAGAAGAGGCTGTGAATGTTGTATAGACGCTTAGCTGTTAATTTATATTCATCGGAGAATCAAACCTATTCCGATCACTCGAAGTCGTCGTCCTCGTACATCCCTTCCTCCCCCACGTTGCCAAAGTCGTCGTCCTCAATGATCTCTTCCTCCTCGTCCACTGCAACCAGTCAGATCCGCCTCAACTCACGTCTCCTTCCTCACCTTGAAAGGGATCCTCCTCATCCTCCTCCAAGTAGTCGTCGACTGTCGTTTCATCCACCCCTCCGCTCGCTTTCAACTGTCCAGACCTTTGCTCCTCCTCCTCCTCCTCCACTACTTCTTCATCTCTGACCTCCTCAAAGTCGTTGCCATACTCCGGCGACGTTCCCTCGTCTTCAACAGGCGCAGCAGGCGAGTACCTCTCCTCCCGAGCGACCTCCTCGTCCACACGTCGACTTGTCTTCTTGTCTCCTCTCTCTCCTGCCGTTTCCCGTGCCGGTTGGGAAGATCTAGCCTGCACCTTCACCTGCTCCTCGACAAAAGGCTCCGCAAGCTCCACCGTCAGCTCCGACAAATCAGAGTTGATCTGCTTTGGTTTTGAAATTATTTCTGTTGGCTGATGCTCCTGTTGATGCTCCTGCTGCTGTTTCCTGATCTCACCTCTTTTCTTCTTGTCCTCCTCTTCTTCTCTCCGCATCCTCTCCCTCTGCTTGTCCTCCTCCTCCCTCTCCCTCACCTGCCTCTCCCTCTCCCTCTCCCTCTCCCTCTCCCTCTCCCTCTCTTCCCTCTCCCTCTCCCTCTCCCTTTCTTGCTC